GACCCCCGACTTTTGAGAAGATTTTCCTGGGTTAAAAAGTAGTCTTATACGCCAGAAAATACAGTACTTTATTTTTTTCTCTCTTCCTATGTAGTGCCTATTTTCTGCTAGTCTAGTTCTCATTTGTTATGTTATTTGTTGGGGGGGGGTTGTATGGTTTTTGTTGTTTAAAATAACTCTAACTAGGGATGTGATGACTACCTGATACAGATCTGATTTGAACAAAAATACCCTCCAATTTCATTAAAGGTTCATAAATTTACTTGGACAGTGCTCTCCCGATGCCTTCCAAAAATATGGCTAATGAGTCCTGATACAATTTTAACAGTGTACTATGCAAATACAACCTAATGCAAATTTTAGCTCTATGAATATATGCTACATACCATCTATATACCTAAATCATCATGGAAAAGATTGCTCATTTTTATAACAGCAACAAATAATACTACCAACAAATATATTAATAAAAATAAAACTTTAAAAAAATTTAGGTAATGCAAAAACACAACTGAAATTAGAAAAGGAATTGCAGCCCTTGATATGTCTTGTTTCACTGCCCTGTTTTCTCCAAGAGCCTATTCAGCTGGAAGGAAAGCTGGTTGAAAAAATTTTGACGGAAGAGTTTTCTGTCGGAAAATGCAGTTTTGTCGAACTCGAAACATTTCATGAGAAAGTGTTGATTTCAATGACATCTTTGACAAAAAAGTCTTGAAATGAATTGTTTTGACTTCCTCATTTTGTTTTGATGTCAAAATGTTTCCTTTCGATAAGATAAAAATGTTTAATTTAGACATTCATGTTTTGTTTAATTTTGTTTTGACTTATTGCTATAATATTAAATGTTATATTTAACATTTGCATGTATCTTATATTTTATATTATTTTATGTTTTGATATTCCAATACAATTTTTTAAATTTCTGTTCTGCAAGTAATTTAGAAATTTCAACTTTCCTATTTCAAAAAACTAATTTTGAAATGTCTGACTTTCCCATGGGATGGAAATTCTGTTTTCTGACAAGATATAATTGGAAGTAAATCTAAACTTCCTCTCTTTAACAATCAATTTTAGTTTTATGCAATACCCAGTTTTCTCCAGTTTCAGAAGTACTAATGATTCAATGTAGTATGTTGATGGTGGTTCTGGTGTGTCACCAGCTTCTGCTTTGCCCCAATCCCCAAACAATAAAAGTCTTTTTATATTGGGATGGAGGATGGGCCATGTTCTGTCTTTCATTTTCCCTCTCCATCATTTATAATGTCTTTTCAGAGTGAGGGAAGATGACAGTATCATGAAATTAATGCAAGATGTCATCAAAGGTGAAACTCAAATTTCTATCCCCATTGGCAGCTGGCCCAAGATGTGCAAAAATAGGATCCTAAGATGGGTTCTTATGGCCATAGTTAATCACCTGTCTGATTTTCAAAAATGCTAAACACTCTACTGCTCGCAATGAGGTATATGAGGACTGTGTTGGGTTCTCAGCACTTTTGAAAATCCGAGAGGTGCCTAAATATGAACTTTGGAACTTAACTTTAGATTCCACTTGTGGAAGAATAGCCAATGAAGCTGGCGCAGATGCACAGGGGCCCAAACAATTTAAAGGGCCCTGAGTGGCTTGAAAGCATGTATTATTATTAAGGCTACAGATTTGTCACATGAAAAAAGGTCACAGGTAGTATGTTTTCCCCATTTGTCTGCGACTTCAATTGCTATTAGCCAGGATGGGCAGGGATGGTGTCCCTGGCCTCTGTTTGCCAGAAGCTGGGAATGGGCAACAGGGGATGGATCACTTGATGATTACCTGTTTTGTTCATTCCCTCTGGTGCACCTGGCATTGGCCACTGTTGGAAGACAGGATACTGGGCAAGATGGACCTTGTCTGACCCAATATGGCCGTTCTTATGACTTTTTTCTCTGTCTGTGACTCACCCTGCAGCAGTGGCTCTAGCAGCTCCTATGTCCTGTGGGGCTGAGCCTGGTGCCCTGCACTGGGCATGCCAATCTGGCACGCATGGTCACAGCACCCTCAGGTTTGGCTCACCTGACCCTCCATCATGACGCAGGCAAATTTCAGCAAGTGGTTTTGAAACCTGGAGCACTGGGTCACAGCATTGCTCAGATTTGGCCTGCCTGACCTTCATCATGATGAAAGGTTGGGCTGTCTAGACCTCAGCTCCATGGGACACTGGAGCCATTCCAGCCTCAGGCCCAACCCCTAAACCAACCTCCTCTGTGCACCATGCCAGGATTAGGGTTGCAGTGCTAAGGGGGAGGGTGCTGTTGCAAGTGGTGCTGCTATGGGCGGAGGTCCACAATAAAAACCTGCACTGCGGGGCATGTTTCTGTTCCTCTACCAATGTTAGGCTCCTTGTATTTTTAATCTTGGTCCTTTGGTAGTTCTTCTACCATGGATCCTGGTGTCTCTGGGCCTGTTGGCAAAACAGCAATACAACTATTAGCTATAATGCCTTTTCAAACTGCAAACATATACAGAAAGTTAACTATGAAACAACACTACATTATCAGAGAAGTGAGGAACCAATCATCAAGAAATTAGCCAGGGTCTTTGAAGTTCCTTGCAATTTAATGACATCCTGTACAGCTGTTTATCTTAGTGACTCTTTATTTAATGGAAAAGGAGGTGGCTACATATGTGCAGTAAATTAATGTCATGCTTCCATCTGGTTTCTGTAGCTGTGTTGCCATTTCCTTGTTCCTAGAAAAAAACCACTGCAAATTTATTTTGACCAACTTTCTAAATCTCTACATGCAGAAAAAATATTATTTACATTTCTATGTCTCCACTATATAGTCTGCTATGCTTTTGTGTCTGTATTTGTTGCCAGGGGCATGTCTCATGATCTCTTTGTAAGACAGGAAGAGTCAGATGCTACAATGTTCGCTTGACCTTCAATCTCCAAGTAAGTTAACAAAAAACTGCTTCGTAAATTACTGCTAATATAATGCTCTATCAAAGACGATTGTGGCTTCCCCATAAGCCCTTTTGGAACACATTACCAAATGTACTAATCACCTCCCCAACCTCCACAGTAGTGAGCCAGTCTGGGGAATGGTATATTTTCTACTTTTGACATATGTAACACCTCTGACTCAATAGGAGTCTTGGAATCAGGATCCTCCATGGGTATTGGCCTATGTGGGTACTGTCACAGTTTCAGGAAGGGCAGAGTTATCTGGCATGATCATTTCTGGATTTTGCTCCCTGAGGGCCTATGCAGCTACGCTGATAGTTCCTATCTTCCCTGTGGTCTTTCTGCTCTTTTTCTGGGCAATCGCCACCTCTCTGAACTGATGATCACTGTTGCATATCATGGCCACAGTTGTGATGATAGGTCACACAACTTCATTTCAATTATTGTCATGTCTCTTTTTCTTCTTTGTTTTAAAATGGTATTGTAGGGCTTAAACTGAGGAGCAAAGCTTCCAGATGAGGTGCACAGATTGGGAGAAGCATAAATAAGTGCTATAAAAGTGCATGAACACTGCATTTATGGCTTGACATTTATTTCCTGAGTTTCTCTTGCTCACTCCCTTACTTTTGTATTACAAATGAATGCAGAAAACGCCATCTACATATTGATGATCAACTTGTAATGTGAATTTTATGTTGTACCTCATTCACCAATCAATAAATATTCTCCATAGTGTGACAGACCCAGACCAGTGGGGTACAGGAGTCTGGTAGAGGGCAAATATACTGGTCACTGGATGAGTAGTTTTCTGTTCCCTGAGTGACCAGAACA